ACAATTATGGTTTTAAAAAACTCTGTGTAAAAATATATGTAATAAATATAATTGTAATAATTGGCTAATTATAGCGCCATACTTTATTTTAGCGCAATTGTGTTGCGCAGCTATCTTATATAAATTTAGAATTTTGGTTGTACGTACGTACGTACGTACGTACATACGTAGATTTCTGCACAAAGATGACACAAGCAACAGAAAAAGTTTACAAGTTAATACAACCCGGTCATGAATATTACACCACATATCAATGACGTACAGTATACTTATCGCTATATAATTTACACCGACCGTAGCTTTGGAATCATTATCCAACTTTTTCGAATAATTACCCTAATAATAATGGACCGAATATTTGCATCAGAATATTTTGATACAATATTCAGATTTCTTCCGAATAATAAAGATTTACATTCTTGTCTCTTGGTTAATAAACATTGGGCCACTTGTGCCGTTCCAATTTTGTGGGAAGCACCCTTCAAAATTAATAATAAACATAATCCATCTTCCAAAGTGATTCAAATTTATCTTGCATTTATACCAGATAGTACTTTTTTCAAATTGGGATATAATAGAAGAATTGGGTTTTCGATTAGTAGACCTCTTTTTTTTGACTATCCATCATTTCTTAAAGAGCTCTCATATGATCAATTTCTTAATGCAGTTATTGCAAACAATTGTTGTAAAGATATTATAATTGAATTATTTAAATTACTTGTTATGAGAAGCGTAAGATTACGCCGACTTAGTATCTATAACAGCCTTTATCGTCATTCAGAAAACCTAGATAATATAGGATATTTGGTTCTTCCTCATTTTCTTGTAAGCACTTCTTTATTTAGTAGGTTGGCTTATTTTAATTGTTGCTATCAATGGCCAAGTCAAAAAACACAACTTTTTAATGCAATAGCGAAGGATTGTCACAATATTAAAAACCTTAAAGTCAGTATTTGTGATGAAAATGAGGAAATAGCTTTAGTGAGTCTTATCCGTTCTCAAAGGAATTTAAAAAAGTTCTCTCTGGTAAACAGTAATAATTTCGCGTCATTTCCTATCCAAGCTCTTGTGAATCATAAAAACTCACTTAACAGTTTAGCACTTGAAGTCATACATTACAACCGTAGCTTAAACGAGGCAAAATTTTTTAAATATGCTATTTGTCAATTAAATATCTGTGCTATGGATGTACTGGCTCAATGTACAAAAATCAACAAAGTTAAGTTCAAAAATTGTGAAGGACTTGATTTTTCTGCGCTTCTTCCTCTTGCCATTGCTTTTCCGAACTTAACATCCTTTGAATATTCTTATGGTGTTTATAAAATTTATGATAATGCAACCCCTATTGGATTATTATCTAGTTTTATTATGACTAGTTGTAATACACTTAAAAGAATTGTATTTGACTGGTATTCAGAAGGTTATCTTGATATTACTCAACTTGTCGAAATTATTGCACAACATGTGATGAACCTCGAATATTTAAAAATTCCACTCTATACATTAGATCAACTTGCTTTAATTCATCGAACTCATAACCCACTAAGGAAACTTGAAATTCATATTAATGAAAGAATAAATCCATATTGTGTTCTTTCTCTTTTTGCGAATGTTCCACTCAAAAGCTTTGAGCATTCAATTCAATTGAACTTTGATGATCATGAGAATTTTAAGCTGAATTTCAATCTACTGAATCAGATCTTTGAATCTATTTTTTACAAAAGTAATCGGGTTGTTGATTTTGTTTTATGCTTACGCAATGATTCAAACCTCTCAATAGAAGGAAAAGAGATTCTTTTAAGAAACTACTCAAGACTTAGAATCAATTTCATGAATAGGATTTCAGAAGTTAGAATATTAGATTATGATGCATACAGTGATGAACTGCTTAAAATTCTTAACAATTTATTAGAAATAAATTCAGATGACATATGGGCATTAAAGCAACGTGGGGCGACTTATTTAAACATAAAAAAATATATAGAATCGCTTGAAGATTTGAGTAAAGCTTTAGAAATTGAACCAAATTGTGCCTATTCATTAAGACTGCGTGGTGAAATTTATTATTTGATGGGAAAATATGAAAATTCATTGATAGATTTAACCAAATCACTAGAAATTGAACCAAACAGTGCATGGGCATTAAAATTTCGTGGAATTATATATTCTATAATTGAAAGATATAAAGAATCACTTGATGATTTAAATAGATCTTCAAAAATTGAACCAAATTATTCATTTGCATTGAAACAACGTGACGAAATTTATTGTAAGATGAAAAGATATGATGAATCACTCACGAACTTAAATGAAATTCTTGAAGTAGAACCAAATAATGCATTTGCATTAAAAAATAGAGGTGCAATTTATAGGGTAATGAAAAAGTATGATGAATCACTTGTAGACTTAAATAAATCCCTCAAAATAAATCCTGATGATGACTTTGCTTTAAAAAATCGTGGAATAATTTATAGTGAAATGAAAAAATATAATGATTCACTTGTAGACTTAAATAAATCGCTTGAAATAAAGCCAAATGATGCACTTGTATTAAAACATCGTGGTGCAGTTTACAGAATAACGAAAAATTATAATAAATCACTTGCTGACTTGAATGATTCTCTTGAAATAGAACCAGATGATGCATTTGCATTAAAAAACCGTGGTGTAATTTATCTTATGAAAAAAAGTATAAAAGAATTAGATTATTTTGGATTTTATTTACGATCTCAAAATTATCAAAATCGCAATAAAAAATATAATGACCATGAAAAATCGCTTGCAGATTTAAATAAATCATTAGAAATTGAACCAAATGATACGTTTGCATTAAGATATCGTGGAATAAATTATCGTAAAATTAAGATGTATGAATTATCACTTAATGATTTAAATAGTTCATTAAAAATTGATCCTGATGATGCATTCACGTTACAACAACGTGGTGTAACTTATTATTATATGAAATTATATGATAAATCACTTGAAGATTTAAATAAGTCACTAGAAATCGATCCAAATAACGCCGATACTTTAGGAAATCGTGGAAGGACTTATTACATGATGGAAGAATATGAAAAATCACTCAAAGATTCAAACAAATCATTAAGAATTGAGCCAACTAATGCAATTGCGTTAGGAAATCGTGGTGCAATTTACAGAATAATAGAAAAATATAGTGACTCGCTTGCAGATTTAAATAAGTCTCTCGAAATAGAACCTGATGATGCATTTGCATTAAAAAATCGTGGTGCTACATATTATATGGTTAATAACTTTACGAATTCACGTAAGGATTTAAAAATGGCAGTAACTATTAATCCAGAAGATTCATTTGCATTAGGATATCATGGAGCAATTTATTGTAAAGATCGAGATTATGAAAAATCGCTCGAATATTTAAACAAATCACTAAAAATTAAGAAAAAAAATGCATTCGCATTGCGACAACGTGGGATAACTTATTTTTATATGAAAGAATATAATAAATCGCTGGCAGATCTGGATAAATCTTTAATATACTCGAGTGAAGTACTTTAGCTTATGATACAAGAAAAGTTTTATTAATAACTAAATGTTTGCAATATCTAAAGAATTAGAATGTAATACTTGGCTGTGTTATAAATATATTTAATAAAAGTTTTACTTTGCTTATTTCACAACTTATAAATCTATATAAAAAGACTCTACAAAACCAATACATCTGATATCTTGTTATCAAATCCTGAATTTCTGGTTACCATTTTATAACGACTCTGTGCACGATAATTAATTCTCTTAGGCCATGTAAAGTTGATTTTTCGTTTTGCATAACCAGATCCAAAATTTTGGTCAATGTGTCGGGGGTTTTTTTTATTAAATTAATAGACACATAGACTTAAATAAAAAAACTGTCGATGCAATTACTTTATTAATCTATTTAAGGTTGAAGTGCTGTCTATCATATAGTTGAAGATAATAAAAAGACTGTTTTTTTCTTTCATTATTATTATTTAATAATTAACTTGTTTATTTCATTTATAACCTTTGTAGACTGTTTCGAAAAGTTATATGTATCTCTAAAAGGTGTCTAACTAGTATTCCGACCCGTCACTAAGATCCCAACACGGGTGGTAAGAGAAATTCTGCAACGGGTCATCCGAGATTTATGAGGTTGAGTAGCTTATTTAAATACTTGGATTAACGCGCTAAATTAACGCGAATAATGATAGTAAATATTCATGAATACGAAGCTTATACCAATTAATGTTCTTTATGCTATGCACTAAATAGAATGAGGAAATATTTATCTTATTTTAATGCTTATATTATCGTACTTATACACTAAATTCATGCGTATAAATAGTAAATATTATGACTTGGGTGGCATAATGCTCATTATTTACAATCTAAAGCAAATTATGAATAATAATTAACGTTTTTTTATACTCATGCACTAAATTAAAATAAACTAATAGTAAATATTCATAGGTATGAATAACTTATTTTGAAGACTTAGATTTATAAATGCTCTTTATGCTCATGCGCTAAATTAATGCAAATAAAATGAACGAAGTGATTTGTAAATATTTCATGAGCGTGATATCTTGAGAAATACTAAGATTAATATAAATACTGTAGATTCTTTATAATCACGTACTAAATATAAAACGTAGTAAATCACGCTGTGGTTTAGGTTAGGGTTAGGATGATAGAGTTTCTAATAGTAAATTTCACGAGGAACATTTTTAATTAAGCCACAGAAGGTGGTTTCTTAATTAAAAATTCGAGTTATTTCTGATTTTTTTTGTAAAAAAATGGTTTCGCTTATACCAGGAACGTAGTACGAAGTAACGAAGTATATGGTTTACAGGCAACTATCTGTGTGCGAATCCTTGAATCCTATTTGATGGCGTATTCAAATTGTTCATTGGACATCGTGTACGTACATGATCACGTATACTGGTTTTGTTTAATGCCATATGAAAGCGATTCATTTTTATAAAATTGTGGCTGTACGCTTATTATAAATTCTGGTACGTACGTACGAGCATCTATACCTGTTATACCTTACTACTTTTGGTAATCGATTCAAGGATAAAAAATATATAGT